GGTTTAAAATAAAGACTAGTTTACAGAAAAGAATAATTATCCTTAAACACACTCATTGAAGTCTATCACCGAAGTCGATGAAGACTGAAAAACATGCCCCTAGGGTACAATTATAACATATCGTGTACAAATTTGCACTAATCTGGATTAAAATTAATTGTCATTTTGCTGTCTAATCACATATTTTCGTGGTGTAAAATTTTCATGGTGTAATAGAAAAAAACCTTTTGGTTTGTGGGGATTTTATTTCGTGGATGGAAAAGGTTAATTCAATTTAGTAATGCATATGAAATTTTACATTTCGTGGCGGTCATAAATTCGTGGTTTTCTCCATACGTCGAAAATAAAGAAAATAATAAACAACTATGAAAATTATTGATTTCACAATATTCCGTTGATTAAAATAATAAAAATGCGCTAGACTTGCGACGAAATAGATAGAACACAAATTCAATATCTTCTCTTGTTTTACTTGAATTATAAAGTGCTTTTTTCATCTCCATTGAATTCTATCCCTCGCTTTGCTCGGCACCAAAGCGTATGGTCTCCGGGGAAAAGATACTAATATGTACTTAATGACGTGTTGGTATGCCTACTCATGTTTTATTCTACGAAAACGTAAAATGCAGATTTTTCACTTAAATGACAAAACTAATCATATCCAAAAGAAAAAAAAAACCATTTACTTCCGTAATATGTAAGAAGAGTTCTAAGACCAAGTTTTTGCAGTGAGAAAACATTTAGGGTCACACGGTGAAAATAAAATTACGAAAACCTTTTTGCACCGTTGAAACATCGAAAGGACACCACCAAACATTTTCCAAAATATCAATATGCTACTTAAAAATGTAAGTAATCGAAGAAATAAGCGTTTTATTGCGCACCTACAGGATGCCATCAATCATATTTCAAAACATGTTTGGATACGTCAGAATAAATCGAAGAGAAAAAGGGGGTGTAGAAAAATTATTTGTCTCGACCATCAATTGCTCTCAGTGACCAAATCGAAAAGAAAAATATGAGAGGAGTTTAGGAAACAAAGGTTTATAGAACAAAAAATCAAACTATTTTAATTCCTTTTTGCCCTCCATTGTAAATTAAAATTCTTAAACCCCTACAAAAGTCTACAGGGACACCATGAATCATTTTCAAAATGATGATCAAGCTTCTGCAAGAAAATATAAGAGGAATTAAGGGAACCAGGGCTGGGATTCATGAAAATTCTAATTATATACGTAAGATAAAAATCATTTTTTAAGTTATGTATTTTTTACTTAAATTTCCCAAGTACTACTGAAATTTGGTAAAAATACATAAATATACTTAGTGCTTTTATAAAGGTATTGACTTTAAGTTACATGTCCTCAGAAGGCGTCTTAAGTAGATAAATTTTACTTTATTCATAAATCAATCGTGTAATAAGGATGATTTCCTTATCTGTCTAATAGCAAAAATGGGATTTGGATGGAAATATTCTTGTAAAAGTTTATAAATGTAATAATTTATTTGACGTTTTCTATTTGCAAAAGCCGTCTCTTTTGTTTTATCTAGGATTGGAATGCTCTAAATGTACTCACGTGGATATAAAGGACGTCCCATCATTTCTTCAAAGCATTGTATTAACCAAAAGTCCTCAATGTGCCAGTGCCTCTCCAGGACAAACAGCCGACAAGTTTAGCTTTTAAAAAATGCCTAGAGAGTCAGCCAGTGGATTTTTCTTCTCTGTAATAATGTTTTGAAGAATACATGTACTTATACTGTACTGAAAAAAATGCAGTATACCGGAATGCATGTTTTGTCTCTTAATTAGAAAACAGATATAATGTAATAAAAATTTAAGTTCATTTTCACAAAACATAATTCCATTAAATTATAAACCAATCTCATCGGATCTAAAGGAATTAAATTTATGGGGATGGGGGACATAGCAGTTTTAACAATCCCGCGGCCACAAACGGGACCTCGTAAGCTTCAATATCACCCTGTTAGAGTTTGTCATGTTGCAGATTGCAGGTTGAATCACTCAGTGCTACTGTGTTTAGAGAACAAAGACACCCTTGCCCCTGCGATAAAGTAACAGCCATACCGAACCCTTTTTTGATAATATAAATAAAGGTCCACTTAAATACATGTAACCAGTACGTACATTTTCTAGTACTTTTAGATTAGAAAAATTTCATATAAACAGGTAACATGTAAGCTTTGTTTAACCTAATCTTTGCATAATTTAAGACATAGGTTTTTTATATTTAAGTTTTTTAACTATCTACTTTAATATGACCTAGCTAGCTGAATTTAAACTTGAAACTTTAAAAAAAGTAGAATTGAAACAAAATAAACAACACAATGACTGGTAAACAAATTTATTTATCAAACCTCTATAACATAAGAAAACTATAAATCCCTAAATCTGATTGCCACAGCATAAATGGTCTCATTCACTAATCAAGCTTATTCAGAAAATCTGCGTCTCCCACTTAGGGAAAAAAAAGCATGCGCAGATCTAAAAAAAAAAAAAAAAAAAAAAAAGGGGGGGGGGGTCACGGGGCCATATGGTGGATCGAGTTATGGTATAAAATTTGATTGTAAAATGCAAATATGTTTCTTTTGATAAAGACTGGAAATGAAAGTTTTACACACACTCACACAGAGATGTGAATTTATTACCTTGAACTTTGAACGTCAAAATAAATATATAGGTGTCTTCCTTTCAGCATAGGTTGTTGTGGTGTAATATTTGACTTCTAAAGCTGAAGGGCTTATCGAGATATTGCACCGACACACAGATGTTCAAACAGACATAAGTTTGATTTCATTACCTTTACCATTGACATTTTTACCTCAAAATAAAGAGGGGGTTTCTATAGTGTGTTGTGTAAAATTTCACTACAAATTAAAGCTCAAGGGCTTCTCGTAATATTTCCCGGAATTAAAAGTGTTAATAACAGAATTACAGACAGGGGAACGGAAGGATAAGCAGACCGAAATAAAACAATATCCTCCACTTCCAGCGGGGAACATTACAAACGAGCAAGCTAGCCAGTTGTGTCTCTTTTCGAAGTACCCGTTGTATGATTTAACAAGTCAGTTCGCTAAATGGCATCGGGATCGAAATGATGTAATGAAAACGAAAGTAAAACTAATAAAAACTGAATAACTTCAAACATTCGGCTCACCTCGGCTGACTACGGTACCCTACTATGTAATCGGCCGAGGTGTGCCGAGTGTAACTTCAAAATCTCTATTAAACACTGTTTATGTCGTAGATTTAAATACATAAATAAAATTCCTTCAACATACTTTACCAAAGACCTTCAATTAACGCGTCAAACACTGTGCGATATGAGTTCATACAACTGTATGCTTAACTGCGTAGAACACATTTCACGATCAGATGCGAACCAGTTTAATTACTGCGAACCAGGTTTTAAAAACTGTTTGAAACTGATTGTACAAAGCTTCTAAAAATAAATAAGCATAAATTACTTTCTTATTTAAGTTGAATTTAAATTTACAGATTACCGTGGTGTTAAATAGGGATTATTTTCTTTGTTTAATCTATTCTGAATTTACTGAAATGAAATTAGCTAGAGTGATTTGCTGCAGAACTACTCCCAGAATTCCAAAACGCGCAAGCGCATTTGAAGTTCTTCGTATCATAACTAGTCAGCCCACGGGCTGACTAATGACGTGAGTTTGGTCAAGTGTCCCAGTAATCCAACGTCAGGACAAGTGTACAAATGTGGGACCTACACCGGCACTGTCACAGTGAAAATTCACCTAAAACTCCTCACACGTAAGATTGTCTGATTTATCTAAGATATGTAAATGAAATAGGTTGCAGATCTGATTTGCAACATTTTGTAAGGTATATCGCAAATTCTCTTCTTTAAAAACTATATTAAACCCAAAGAAAGAAATTATTTATTTATAAATGAGTATCGGGGGTATATACATCAGGTTGAATTTACTTTGCAATAAAGACATTTTTTTTAATTTATTAAATTTTTAATCGTCAATAAGTAGACACTAGTGTCGCTGAGTTGTTAAATACAGTTAAAAACTCTAGTTGAAAAAAATTGCTAACCAACGAACACACTTTATAGAACTTTTCTCTCCTTTTACCCTGCTAATTTCTTCGCAGCCATCTTTAACATTAATACTGCAAAACATATCATTATGTCAGGAATAAAATTAAGAGCATTATCTCTTTGTCATTTGCTTCTAGGATCTACCCCCCGATAGAGTAGTACTTTTCTCCCCGTATTACCAGTAAATATGTAGTAAATGACGACCGGTACATGTCTTTGTTTTTGTTACAGCTAGTGTAAATGCTGACATAATATATCGTGACTCTGTTCTGATGGATCAGAAGTCCCTGCTTCATGCGTCCCACAGAACAACATTCCTGCTGATAATGCAGTTTTGAAATCCATGTTGTCCAGCCTAGCAGATATCAATGCTGTCACCTTTGTCGGTACCAGATGCGTGGCAGACGAAAGATCCATGAGTAGCCTTAGGTCAACAGCAACACATCTGAGTGAAACCAAATTTGTCCTTTGCACGTTCATGCTTCTAATCTCTAAATATTTATATCACTTATGATAATGAGAATCGATTATAGTTACCCCTTTATCCAGGGGAAATCATCTACATAATTATTAGAATCATCCAGGAGATATCATTCAGTGTAATTTTTTTTTCATATTTCTCGCTTTGACTTTTGTTGATATGTAAACCATCAGTCATAGCTTTACACTACCTTTGCAGGCTTTTTCATGAATATGGCCAAATGTTAATGACTTTGCTTTTTCTTGGAAAAAAAGATTTTCAAAGACGTTTTTCCAATGTACCTCTATTTCAACTTTGTGTCGTATAAATATGACCAATCATGGCTTTGCTGTTCTTGAGAAGATTTTTTTTCTCTCTAATAAAATCACTGAATCACCAGTTCTTCTGTTTTTATTTCCTAATGCACTTCGGTGGCGGAATGCAGATATTTTTACAACGTTAAAATAAAACGATTGGAAAGGGAAACTATGTTGAAAAAATTACAGAAGTAATTTTTTTTAAATTGAACATATTTTATTGTAATAAACATAAACAATAAAATCGGGTCATTTTTTTATTAAACATATTTTATTGTAATAAACATATACAATGAAATCATGTCATATTTTTTACATTTAACATATTTTATTGAAATAAACAAATACAGTGAAATAATGTCATGTTTTTGAATTGAACATATTTTATTGTATTAAACATATATAATGAAATCGGGTATATATTTTTAAACCCAATTCCCTCCCTCATTACATGAAAAAGTGTAAACATTTAAATTAAATATATATCAGGTAAAAATCTCCACTGTATACTCGTAGTAAGGAAATAAGATTTTTATTCAATAAGTTGTATTTTATTGCCTCCATAAACACTCGTGAGTGTAGTACACACAACTATTTATTTCCAAATTACAAACAATGACAATGAGTTTGGAAAAAAGAAATATATTTATCAAAATACTGTGAGCGCTTTCAACCATGTTGATTAGAAAAACAGCTTAGATTATAAGTTTTTGTAGAGTTCATCCAAAAAATACTTATTACTTTATATTGTTATTTTTCAAGAGTTGATCCATTTATATAAAATATTTGTCATGGTTTTGAAACATTTAAAGTAGCAGCATATTTCATGCAATAAATATTAAACAAAACAATCTGTTGATATAAAATACAGATTAAAAAACACATTACCTTATCATTATATCTCATTTAAGAAAGTTTTTGGATGTAAAACTAAACAAGTTACATACTGAACTAGGTTGTTTTAAATTTTGGACCGACTTTGGCTGGTATCTACAAAAAAAAAAATAATTTAAAAAATAATGTTGAAAAAATTGACAACTTTTAAACGAATTTATATTTGAAAGTCTATATATGAAAATATGATTTTTTAATATACATTCATTACTTACACAAGTTTTGGCTGAGAGTCAGGTTTTCGAACATCTAAGTAGCTAGATAGCCTAAAAACAAAACAAATGAACTCATCTATATCAAGAGCACTCAAAAATATACTTTAAGGAGGCAGTGGTTGTACATTCGAGAGAGAGAGAGAGAGAGAGAGAGAGAGAGAGAGAGAGAGAGAGAGAGAGAGAGAGAGAGAGTTACCATGAGTGGTCAACTTCGTTGTATTTCTTCTTGTTTTTACAGACGAGGAATATAATGATCCCAACAGCAAGTGCTAATGCTGTTACTAAAGCTGCCAATTTGAATTCGTTGAGTTTACAAGTTCGATCATTTAGCCCATCGAAGCAATCAAACAGGAATATACATGGGTCTGTTTCACATTCGTCAATGTCTGTAAAAATCGAGGTGTAAATTTGTATGAGGGCTGTTCAATAAATAATGTCCTGAACTGTATGACATACAATACAGATATCATATGACATTAAAATTGGCTTTCTCTCAAAATTGAATTTTTAAAGAATTTATAACAGTTCATGTGTCCACTTTTCATTACATAGTTTCATTGTGAGAAGCTGGGAAACAAGAGGTTTTCGAGACACTGCATTATAAATAAATGGTAAAGAACGGTAAACTAGAGTGAAAATAAAAGCTTCAACAAAGCAGGTGTAAAACTGGTTAAAAATCACAAATAAATATTCACTGAAATATGTGACATTTACAGCAACCAATACCTGTTTTATAGACAAATGAGCAGGTGGATTTCAATGATAAAAAATTAAACATGTATAATGGGCATCAAAAATGGGTACCGTCCTTGCCAACAAAAAATTATAACACTTATGTACTGTTTGCTAAACAACAAATAATACTTGATGATCTAGGATTGACTTTAAGACATATAGCAAATTTGATAGACATCACATCGGGGGTAGTTTACACTGTTTTTAAGAAACGTTTGACGGTAAAAAAAATTAGTACTGAAAGTTCACCCTAAATTTGACAAATGAGTGAAAACGGCAGCGTGTATGAATGTCTTAACAATTATTTTGAAATATCAGTAATTGGAGTTATCCACCTTTTTGGATATTCAAACAGATAAGGGAACTTGAATCTATTGCTTAAAATCCTCAAAACAAAATTTACCATAAGATGTACTTGAAAAAACAGGGAAGATCTGGAGAGAGCAAAGAATTGCAAGAGCACAAAGACAGATTTATATGCAATGTTCTTAAATGTAAGTGGTATTGATGTTCAAATTCGTATTCGGGGAGACAGTTTAATTTCTGGATGAGGGTGGAAAACATTTTTTTTGCAAAAAAAAAAAAAAAAAATCAGAAGGTTTATTAGAGGAAGGACCCAAAATCAGGAATCCACTACATTAGATTTCTTCATGACAGCGTCCAAACCCGCACGCCCTGAAGAGTAAAGGGGCTTTAGGGATACACAGATAGTTAATGTTTTTTTCACATTAACAATATTCGCCAGATCTTTGACCTTTTGACTAATTTCTATTTCCAGACTTGAGAAAAAACACCTTTCATAAGCGAGAAACAAGTCCTGGAAATCATTGGATCTGCCACTTTCCAGTATACCAAGGGTCATACCCAAAAATGAGTTCTAAAATCAATAAGAAATTGCATAAAAAGGTTACGGACATTTGTTGTAATTAAAAGAGACTTAAAAGTATAATAATGAAGACTAATTCATTGAAAAGCGTCTTTTGCCTCTTTCCGAGCACCGAGGACATTATTTATTGAACAGCCCTCATATATCATTACCCGAATAGAATGCATATTAAGAACTTTCCCGTAATCTAAATTGAATTGAGAAATAGTCAGACATTACAGATTGGCAGCAGCAATGATGTAAACCGTAGTGACGACCAGGGCAGGATGGACATAAACAATGCATTTATACTGATCTTTACGGATGTCTTCTTTAGCCTTCCATACATAGGTAAAGAGTTGGTATTTATCATTGATAATAGAAATGATTTTTGGAGATAGAATAAATGAAATTTGAAGTAGTTTGATTAAAGCATAAGATCATCAGTCGACTGCTGACACCTTTGGTGGGCTTTGACATCCTTTAACAGTTATTTAGATATTTTTATGAGCTTAAATTCAACATAAACATATTTGTTGGTAATTGATTCTAATGTTGCCAAGATGCTTAAAAATATGTATGCCGTGTTAAAGTAGTATTTTAGCACAGCTGAAACCGAACAAAAATTTCTAAAGTACGATAAGCTATAAAAAAATGAAGCATTCTTGCAAATTCGACGAAATATTATTCGGTATTAACAAAGTACTGGTCGGGAAAAGAACATGATATTCTCATGCATATTTATAAAGGACTGACGTTTATCCTGGATCTGCGCATGTGCGCAGGAAAAGCATCGCGAGAATCATCAGGTCGGGGAAAATATTTTTTGTGACGTCTGTTCAGCGAGGAACACAAATCGACCAATCAGCTCAATGAGTTGCACTAAAAGGCGTACGCCTGTCTTAACTCTACGCCCGGCGTAAGTCCGGACTTAGATCTAACATTTGGACTAAGGTCCGTTTCACTAAAGGGCGTAACTTTGCGCCCGCCTTAAGTTAAGACAAAAATCTACGGCTGGTCTAAGGCAGGCGTAACTATAGACATAAACATTGGATAATGGCGACTTTCTGGCTGCTTCACAGAAGAAAAAGGGAAACACCTCGGCGAGAACGCATTTTTCGGGACCGAACCAACCCTCTCGAGTATCTTGATGATATAGATCTCGTAAGTATGTATAGGTTCCCGGGAAGAGTCATTCGAAAACTGATAAATGATGTTGACCCTATTGTGAGGCGACCTACACACAAAAGTCATGCCATCCCACCCACATTCAGTTACATGTATATGTGAATGCTTACTGTAGCATTGTATACTTCTTAAATATCCACACATAAATAAACAAATACTGACGCATGGAATCACATGATATGACAAATATAATGGATTTTACAATGTACCTATTAATATAATTAAACTACATTTGCATACTTATTTATACATGTATATATAAAGATACACATAAACATCTTACAGGTAATTATCACCTTAAGATATCTGTCAAAGGCGGACTTCTTTTCGGAAGTAGGCGACCTTCATGGCGTTTCCAGATCATCCGTATCCCGAGTAGTACATACAGGTTGTTATACTTCATTATTTTAACTTTAAAATGATATTAACTCTATTTTTTTAAAAATTATTGCAGGCACGTAGCATCGTTGGTGTGGAGATTTGACCCCTTGAATGTTTCAACATTTTGTCCCCTGCATTCACAAATGATAATAAAAGAAAAATTGAGCAAGTTAACACATCCCACGCCACTCCCCTCTTAATATTTGACAATGTCATGCAAAATAAATGGCATGTTACACATTAAATACACACAAGTAATTCAAAATGAGGCATAATTCCAAAGTAATCGTTACATGTATTAAAACTCCGTGCAATTATTGAGTCTTTATTTTGTACAGATAAAATGAATATAATAAAAAGTACCGAAATTCCCAGAAAAAAATGGAAGCGGAATTTCTTTGTAATATGCGCCTACACAATGTGTTCTCAATAACTGCAAAGTTTCACGAAATTAGGTTTAGCAGTTTCAGAAAAGTGACAATTGCAAGTACTAGGGGGTATACTGATAATTAAATAATAATAATAATATGTACATGTTTGTATACACTATCCTTCATGTTTCTACATGCCTGTTATACATTTAATCAGTTGTACATTTCCTTTTCAAATATTCTTTATATATATCATTAAGGATTTTAACGCAGATTCATCATATTGTTATACAGTGTGCAGTGCAATAAATACAACAGTGGACAACATTAAGTTTCCAGTTACTGCCAATGAATTACGCCATGTAAAATCTGAGTTCTATGACATTGCCAAATTTCCAAATTGCGTTGGTGCAATCGATGGTACTCTAATACCAATTAAGAGCATGAGTGGACCACAGGAGCCTGCTTTTGTATGCAGAAAAAACTTTCATGCCTTAAATATTCAGGCCGTAACAGATTCCAATATGAGGTATAAACGGTATTGATTAAAACATAAATGCGAGCACATCATTTTTTTGTAATAGAAATACCCTCGTATACGCCAAAACTTCAACAGGAGAAAATTAAAATATTTAATATATCGTCAAAAGGGTTTTATGAAATAACAACCTTTGAAAATGTAAATGTTGTCAATTTTAAAATAACTTTATTGCACCAAATATAACCAAACAAATATAACAAATATAAGAATGCTAATTGTTTGCTTACATATGCATAAAGGATGAAAAATTGGTTGATATTATTTCAGATTTCTTCAAATCAATACCTGTTTTCCCGGGGAAACTCACGACTCTATCGTTTTGAGCAACTCGGGATTGTCAGGTGTTATGGAACATCTCGAAGGGGGTGGGTGGTTACTTGGGGATTCTGGCTACCCTCTCAAGGAATGGCTCTTAACGCCATTCTTATCCCCAGCCAATTAACACGAAGTGAATTACAACGATGCACATGGAAAGACTTGTGTTGTGATAGAAAAATCGCTTGGGGTATTAAAATCCAGATTTAGGTAATTTAAACGCAAATTTTCGTTAAATATCTTTATATGTCATATTTGCAAGCAAATATTTTATTTCAAACGTTCATTACGATAAACGCGACCTTAAATTTTTTTTATTTGAAAAAAAGATATATTTATTGCAACCATAAATAAACCTTGTTACAATTTTATTATGAATTCATTTAAAATTCTGTGGGCCAATTTTCTTAGATTGTGGGGTTTTTTTGGTTATTTGTGGAGATGTAATTTCGTGTATGGGTCGGATTTCAGATTCAGTAACAAAGATATCTTTTTCTAAATTTCCTATGAAAATGTAAATTCGTGGTGGTTTGGGGGAGGGGGGGGCTACCAACGAATATCACGAAAATTGAGCCACCACGAATTCTAATGATTCCACAGTATTTACTTTCAAGAAAATCTTTGCAGGTGTTTACATCGAACTGGAGGAGTACTCCCCTTTTCACCAAGTAGATGTTCTCAAATTATTCAAAGCTGTATCCGGCTTCATAATTTAGCTGTTTCAGAGAAAGTCCCCTTACTTGAGGGTGGGGTTGTACAGAACATCAATGACAATGCCGTGTTTAACGCAAACGCACCAAGGAGAGCACAGGATGTGCGCATTCAACTTGCAAATTTATTTTAACAATTCATCTATTCATTAAATCACACACTTACATTGTAATAAAGAACATGACTACTTTATCATTTTGTGTTCAAATTTATTAAATGCCAAATTTGTTTTCAAATGCCGCCGCTATTCTCTCTAGGGCATCTGCTTTTCTCTCCTCTGCGATGGCTCTTCTATCAAATTCAGCATAAAGTCAGCGTCGGGGTCGCTGGCCGTGTCTTGATTTTTAATGAAAAGTTTTATAATCAGAACAATGTCAATTGAAACAGAAGAATATCAAATAAAATCATATATGTAATATGAATAGTTAAAAGTGCATGAATGAAGTTGAAACAGTTCACTAAGGTTTTTTTTTCTTAACAAACGTAAGAATACGCGAAAATTAAAACTGAAGGAATGTTTAATACATTTTGAATTCATTTTCATAGCGTTGGCATTGTTTCTTTTTTACCTTTACGTTTAGTTTCATACAGAGTTGAAGCAAAGAATGTGTCGGTGGAAGGCCCGGACACATGTACACTTGGAGCTTCTTCCGGAACGTCAACTTCTTCTACTATATACATGTACAAACATACATTTTTTAATTTGAAAAAAAAAATATCAATATTTCAAATCTACACACTTATGTGTTCCGCGTGTGAAGAAGATGCATATCAAATTTTTGACAATTTATTATAATAATTTTTATGATTTAAAATTTTATTAGTATATTATATAATATGTATAATTATACAAACCAATCAAGGATGGAATTCCAGCGGAAATTTCCGATGGGACTGCAGTGCATGATGAGGCTAAGCTATCTGTTACAAAGAAGTACTAGTATTTAGATATCATATATTCCATTTTTTTTTAATACTATAACTACTGTATACTACAATAATACTAAATATACAAAGCATGGTAAATCAAATAGTATATGAAGCAAAAGTCGGGAAGGCAACATTATGAGGTTATAAAAATACATGTAGTGAACGTATGTTTACAATGTACATGCATGTACCATGTATTTATAAGGCAGTATCAACCCCTCCGTCAATCCCAGAGATAAGTTCATCCGGTATAGTTGACAAAATCTAGCAATAAAAACAAAAAAATAGTTGTTGCCTTTTTCGATTTATCAGATTCCGGGGGAGGCCCTCCGCCCGTTCTCTTCATCTGGTATTTTCTACTGGCTTCTTTCTTCTTTACAATGGATCTTGCATCTTTCCATTTCTTTTTTATTTCTTCTGTTTCCCTCTTGCACAAGGCAGAAGAAGAATTTATTCTGCAGTAAAATTTTAACACTAAATATATTTTTGAATCCCCAGTCTACCTTCATTTTGTTAGAAATAAAAAAAAAATAGAAAAATACACAAAACCTAAATAACATTCCTATTTTTGCCAATTTAGTAAGTTTTTGAACATAAATATACATTATATGTAACGTAGACATGAACAAATTGTATGTAATCAAATCGGAGATGTTATTATATTTTTGTTGATCGTTATTTTAAAAACCTAAATGCTTACTGCTTTGTGATGTCTTCCCATACAGCTTTCTTTTTCTCGTTTGTCACTGATGCCGACAGTTTTGCAAATAATACATTTTTGTTTTCAATTACACAAGATGTTAGAATTTTCATTTCATCATCAGTCCAGTTTGGCTTACGTTTTCTACTCTCCGAAGACATTTTGATTGTGCAGAGTCAATAGCGAATATTGCAGACGACAATATCGATATTTACATGTTTGTTTGTTACGAAATTCACATTATTTAAGAAAACGCTATGGAAAGCAACATGACAGATCAGAGACAGAGAGAGGTTTCTTAAATTCTTTATTTCACTACAAAACACAGTTGCGAATGTATTCCTTTCAACATGATTCAATCTACGATATATTTTCAATCTAAATATGTTTCAACGCTTTTAAGTTTTTATTATAGACCTCAAAACAAATATTGCAATAAATAATAAAGAATATGTGATCTTTTCCATATATCTTTTCAATGAATATCAAACAAATTTCTCTCTCTCTCTCTCTCTCTCTCTCTCTCTCTCTCTCTCTCTCTCTCTCTCTCTCTCTCTCTCTCTCTCTCTTTATGATATGTATGTGCATATGCATAAGCTCGTTGTCAAGGACGTAAGTCTGGCCTTAACTTAGTCCGATACTAGTATTTACGGCCAGGCGTACGCCTCTTAGTGAAACGCAACTTACGCCGGACTAAATTTTGCGTACGCCCCGAGGCCTAATTTAAGTTTGGTCGTATCTTACGCCTTTTAGTGAAACGGGCCCCTGGACTTGTTTTTTTTCTTTCTGAAAGATGGTTTTTCAAGTTTAGAAATAGAAACAAGTCAAAAGGTAAAAGATCTAGCGAACATTGTTAATGTGAAAAAATATTAACTTTCTTTTTATCCCGAAAATCCCTTTACGCTTCAGAGATGCAGGGTTTGGACGCTGTCATGAAAAAAATAAATGCAGTGGATTCCTAATTCTAGGTCATTCCTCTAAAAAACCTTTCGATTTTTTTGCAAAAAGATTGCTTTCTAGACTCCTACAAAAATTACACTGTCTCCCCGAATACGAAATTGTACAACAGTACCACTAATATTTAAGAAAATTGCATATGAATCTGTCCTTGGCCTTTTGCATACCTTTGCTCCTGTCGGACCATTGCTGTTTTTATCAAGTACATCTTATGGTAAATTTTGTATTGAGCGTTTTAAGCAATAGATTCATGTTCCATTATGTGTTTGAGTATGAAACAAACTTGGATGACTACAGTTACTGATATTTCAAAATAATTGTTAAAACATTCCTACACGCTGTCTTTTTCACTCATTTTTCAAAATATAGGGTGAACTTTGAGTACCAAGCTTTTTTACCGTCAAACGTTTCTTAAAAACATTGTAAACTACTCCCGATATGATGTCTATCAAATTTGCTATGTGTCTTAAAGTCAGTCATACATCATCAGATATTATTTGTTGAAATTGGGCAAATAGTACTTAAGTTGTTATAATTTTTGTTGGCAAGGACGGTACCCATTTTTGATGCCCATTATAACATTTTTTATCATTGAAATCCACTTGCTTATTTGTCTATAAAACAGGCATTGGTTGATGTAAATGTCACATATTTCAGTGAAAATTTATTTGGGATTTTTAACACGTTTTACAGCAGCTTTAATGAAGCTTTTATTTTCACTCTAATTTACTGATTCTTTACCATTCATCTATAATGCAGTGTCTCGAATAGCCCTTGTTTCCCAGCTTCTCACGATGAAACTATGTGATGAAAAGTGGTCACATAAACTGTTATCAATTCATTAAAAATTCAATAATGAGAGAAAGTCTAGCTTAATGTCATATGATTTTTATGTTGTATGTCATCGAGCTATTGACATTATTGAACGTCCCTCGTATATGTGACAATTAAGTGTTTACTTGTGTTGTAAAAAATGTCATTAAATACAGTAATATATCAAGTTTGCACTTGAGTCAAGTGTTTTTAACAGCATTATAACATTAAAATGGAATATGAGTTTTAAGGGCGCAAAAACCTCTTCATAAAGGTATTTATAGTCCAGAGTCAAATGTAATCATTTTGTACGAGGCAGTCTGAAATACCTGTTTGACATATTCTGTCGGTGTACCCAGAAATACAGCTACACGTGAAGTTTTGAGTCATTCCTAGGCGAATGCATGTCCCATTATTCAGACAAGGTTCATATAAACAAGGGCTTATATCTATCATACAAAAAGGAAATTTAGTTTGCGATAAGGCATATTTATTATTAATTCCATAACGTTTTTAAAAGATAAATATACCTGTAACTCTTATTTCAACACAACGAGAATCACTTGCTTTTCTACAAAAGAATTAACACATGAATATTTCAAAAAAAGGTAATGTCTTGTAAAATATATCATCCAATGTCAAGAATCTGTCAACAATAACATGAAATAATAATAATAAAACTTAAAAAAAAAACAACAAAAAACAAAAAAAGGAACTTTGTGCATTGCATTCCGTTGTTATATGACCCTTCTAGACATTGGTAGGAACAGTTTGATTGTAAATATACGTCAGGTATTACCTTTTATATGTTTAATTATTTAAGACTCCTTATATAAGAACTATTATATTATATGTACATTAAACATTAGAGGACTATGTTTTGTTTGGTGTTTAGTCAACGAAGAAGGTACGCTTTGGACTTTATTGTGCCCTAAAAATTTAATGTTCTTAAAAATACATGAAAATGGCTTTAACAAGAGTTGAGTAGATGAATATGATAAATCATAATAGAATATGGCATGAAGGAGGACTATTCTGGAAATGACGTCATTAATATGGTACATATTTAAGGGAAAAGCTTCAGAATGACTTATTTCTGTGCCTTTTTTCTTTAGAAAATAGTGCCTGCCCCCATGGATATGGATATATTATGTAAATTGCTTTGAAAAATCACACATTTCAAAATCTTTGTGGGCAATGCATACAAACTATGTTTTCTGAAAGAAAATTGAACTGAAAATTGATGTCTTCTGCAACTTTTTAAGAAAATACGGGAAAATACACAAGTTAATGACGCCAAAATTAGCATTCAGGGGGTCATATAAGAAAAACGATTTGAGTATTCTTACTGTATGGAATTTTTATTATTTAAAGAGAATGAATTTAAAATTTCTTTTATCCCTTTCATATTTTTGTAGAATACAGGGCTATATTTGTATTGAAACTGTATCTTGTTCTTACCCATTATTATCTTCTGCCAAGGCGCATAGAATATGTGAACCGATCTGAAGTGCTGTTGGTGTCCATGTTGTGTTGATAAAGAAAACCCCTGGTCGTCCTGGGTATGGCATGGGAGAAGTATACGTCATCCCAGCTGGTGAGGTAACATCAACTCTTGTTATTCTTTTAAAAAAAAGGTCGATAAAAATATTGAATAGTTGCAGTTAACAATATATTTGTGAAATCGATCTTAGAATGACATTAAAAAATCAACAGTGTTAAATAGAAAGTACGTTTGATTGCTAGCGATGTAAAATGAGATGTGTAATGTTTGTCCCGTCAAAACGTTATAAATGGTACCCTCTGGAGGAGTGTTATTGACAAAAACAGGTCGCTCCTCACAACCACCGGACAAACTAGCAGTCCTGACAAGAAACTGAAAAATTCACATCAACTTAATTGAGAGATGAAAGGCCTTCAAGTTTGATTTTTAAAAAAATGTAAACATCTTGGTTTAATTTTTTTTTTAAAAAGTTTACCTGGAGATGAATTGCCGTCATTGGGTCAGAAGGAGTGTACGTCGTCCCACCAATAGTAATATTTGAGCGCGGAAAGTCTTCCACAGTTACGGCTACAGCATACGTGCCATTTACAGTGTGATTTGATGGAAAAGATATCGTGCATGTTTCCTATAAAATCATTAAGAATTATATTTATCAAAATTCCGTGTCAAATAAGAATTACTTGGTTTTGAATTAGTGGAAAAACATCATTGTTGGATGACAAAATTTCATACTTAATAATAATGATATGGTATTTAGCAAATACATTGTATTTATGCCCCGTGGGGATCCGGGTTAGAATAGGTCCTCAGTACCCCCTTGCTTGTCGTAAAAGGCGACTAAATGGGGCGGTCCTTCGGATGAGACCGTATAAACCGAGGCCCCGTGTCACAGCAGGTGTGGCACGATAAAGATCCCTCCCTGCTCAAAGGCCGTAAGTGCCGAGCAAAGGCCTAAATTTTCAGCCCTTCACAGGCAATGGTGACGTCTCCATATCAGTGAAATATTCTGGAGAGGGACGTTAAACAGTATACAATCAATCAATCAATCATTGTATTTATTTACACTATCTAAGCTGGCGTAAGGGAGAGCGGAACAGACAGAGTCACATTCTGACCCAATGGACCAACGACATCTTAAAATATCACCATCGGCATCTGCCACTGGAATTTGTAAGGCAAGGCGACAACCATATTGAAATCTGAAAAAAAAGATTGTTCAAAGCCAAAGTTGTAAAAATCATAGGAATCAATAATGACAGACAAGGTTCAATCAGAGAACAGCTTACTTGAGATTCAATTTTAATTCCGTTATGAAGATGAATCAAATCCTGAGCCTTACGTGTACATTGGCTTCCCTGTTGTGACAGGACTGGTGTTAGGTTGCTGGATATCACTCCTGATGGCCAAATAGACGACTGTTCGAATTGACCAGGATCCAGCAGAAGTCCCATAGTCTAAACTTATCCAGCAACAACTTGCAAATCTATTCATCAGTGGAATTTTTTTTAAAAGACAAAACATTGAAACATTGAGTTATCAAACCAAACAGTTTTCCCTTTTTATTATGGCTACATAAAACATAAAAACAATCCAACAAGCAAATATTTTTAAATATAACTTTCATACATATAACAACCGTATTTAAGATGTAACTTTAAATTCCCTTTCATTTATTGATATTGTATCTCTGAATTAAAAAGAAGTGTATTATTTTATCATCTTACTCAACGACGAAAGGACCCTCTCCTGGAAAGGTATAGTCAAAATTTCTCTCCCCTTGTTCCCAATCCTCTTCTACGCTTGCACCTGTGCATATGTAGTTTACTGTACTCAAAGACTGGGAGGTCGAATTACAACCAGACGTACATCTCCAGAAGGTACTGTTCATCCCGGTAACCAGGGAACCTATCAACGCTGGGGTGCAACCAGGTCCCGTACCATATCGCCACCCCAGCTTAAATGAAAACTGGACCTGCAAATTGTTTAGGAAAACTACAATTTATAAAAATAAAGTATATTCTGTTTAAATAAAGTACTGAAGTTTCCACAGTAGGATGGGTTGCTACTTATTACAATAAAGCTTCTTTTGCTTATTGTTTGATTGAAAATCATTATCATTTTGTAAATTATAAACATTAAAGTGTTATGGGTCAGAATAACCCTAAATGTCAGCAAAGATCAATAACACAATTTAAACTTAACAATAATTTATTTACAGTAATATATAATAAGTATATGAAACATAAAGTACAAACTTAGCAAGAATCTAGAAATACATACATCAGAGTGTCCGTTGCTGCACACAATGTCCCAGTGAAAATATATCCCAGTTATATCTCAATAGTGCTTATACGACAAAGTATTTCTATACATCGAATTGACAGGGTATTTATACAGTATCATAAATCTAGAATATTCTAGAAATTGTTAAAACATGATATTACTGGAACAATCTGGACATACACAAAATTTAAGAATGTTCTAGATCAAATGACCGAACATGTTGACCACTCTGGAATGTTCAAGAAACTTAATGTTACTAATTATATACATAATGAAACAATACACATTTCACAACACCTCCCCCCTTAGAAAGTTTGAATGTCAATGAAAACTTATATTATTAAAACATAGGTACATTAATACAAAATCTAGTATATTTACGATACTCTTGACAAGGCATCTGCAATAACATTGTCTTTGCCTTTGATATGCTTTATTGTTATATTGTATTCCTGTAACAACAAACTCCATCTAGTCAGTCTTTGATTCTTGTTTGGCAATTTATGCAAAAATGTCAGGGGGTTGTGATCAGTATACACAAAAATTGGATGCAAAGTAACATTCAAATAAACATCAAAATGCTGTAAAGCTAACAACAAAGCAAGGCATTCTTTTTCAATAGTAGAATAATTTCGTTGACATTTTGTAAGTTTCTTTGAAAAATAAGAAACAACTCTATCTACATTATCACTATGTTCTTGAAACAAAGCTGCCCCGATTCCAACATCACTAGCGTCAACAGTAAACTTAAATTGCTTAGAAAAATCTGGAGTTGACAGAACTGGGTTGCTCATCAGGACAGATTTGATTTTATGAAAGGATTTTTCACAGTCCTTTGTCCATTCAAAGTTAACCCTCTTTTGTAAAAGATTTGTAAGTGGACTAACAACTGAGGAAAAATTTGGACAAAATTTTCTGTAAAACCCAGCCATGCCCAAAAACTTCATTAATTCTTTCTTGTTTGTAGGAATCGGGAACTTTGCAATAGCTTCCACTTTAGCCATAATCGGTGTAACATAACCTTGACCTACTTTATGACCTAAATACTCTACATAAGCATGACAAAATTTACTCTTCTCAAGATTCACAGTTAAGTTTGCTTTAGCTAAAATGTCAAATAAAGCACGCATGATTCGGAGATGTTCGTCCCATGTGTTGCTGTATATGACGACATCATCAATGTAGGCCTCGCATCCCTCAAGGTCTTGAAGAAGGGAGTGAATCATCCTTTGGAATGAAGCCGGTGCGTTTTTCATGCCAAAAGGCATTACTTTATACTGGTAAAGTCCATCTGGTGTAGCAAAATCAGATATTTCTTTTGCTCTTTCTGTTAACGGTACTTGCCAGTAGCCTTTCAACAGGTCAAATTTACTGACAAATTTCGCGTTTCCAATGTTGTCAATACAGTCATCGATTCTAGGTATTGGATATGAATCAGTTTTGGTAACAGAATTCACCTTTCTAAAGTCTGTACATAATCGGTACGAACCGTCCTGTTTTGGTACAAGAATACACGGTGAGCTCCAATCACTTTTACTAGGTTCAACAATGTCATTGTCCAACATGTACTGCACTTCCCTTCTTAGGTACTGCAATTTTATTGGATTCAGACGGTACGGATGTTGTTTGATAGGCAGAACGTCACTCACTATGACATCATGACAAGCTGCATTAGTTTTCTTTGGAACATCCGAAAAGATTTGATGATACTCATTCATCAAGTTTTTAACTTGTTCTTTTTGGTGAATGTTCAAATGTCCAAGTTTTTCATCCAAATCAGCCAAAACTTCTGAGTTTTTCAAGCGGACACTCTGATTACAATCTTTCTCATTCATTTCTTTACTCGTATCACTTACTCGTATCAATACAATTTTGAACAGTCTTAGCATTGGCTAAAGTGGAAACTGGTTTTACAGAATTTCGGTCACACCTTTCAAAATACTCTTTTAACATGTTAATGTGACAAACCCGTTTCTCTTTACGTCGACCTGGTGTCTTAACTACATAATTTACATCACTGATCTTGCTTTCAATTTCATAAGGGCCATAAAATCTGGCCTGTAAAGGATGACCAGGAATAGGTAAAAATACAAGAACCTTATCACCTGGCTTAAACACACTATTTCTGGTATCTTTGTCATACCACATTTTCATTTTCATCTGAGAATTCTTCAAATTTTCTTGCGCTAATTTACAAGCTTTGTAAAGTTTTTCTTTGAAATCAGACACATAATCTAAAAGATTAAGATCACTAGTCTCAGCCAGCAACTTTTCCTTTAACAATTTTAAAGGACCTCTAACTGTATGACCGAACACCAATTCAAAAGGACTGAACCCAAGAGACTCCTGGACTGCTTCTCGTGCAGCAAATAGCACAAGATGAACCCCTTCGTCCCAGTCTTTTTCATACTGGTAACAATAGGTTTTCAGCATTGTTTTTAGGGTTTGATGAAAACGTTCTAGCGCTCCCTGGGACTCAGGATGATAAGCAGTTGATCTATATTGCCTTATACCCAACTCATGCATGACTTGTTGGAACAACCCAGACATAAAATTTGACCCTTGATCCGACTGAATTGCCTTAGGTGCTCCTACAAAACTGAAAAACTTGGTTAGGGCCTTTACTATGCTCTTTGCCTTTATATTCCTTAGAGGTATGGCTTCAGGAAATCGAGTGGATGTACACATATTGGTAAGTAAATATTGGTTTCCTGACCTAGTCCTAGGCAAAGGTCCTACACAATCCACCAACACTCGACTAAACGGTTCTTCAAAAGCTGGAATGGGTTGGAGAGGAGCAGATGGTATCTTCTGATTTGGTTTACCTACCATCTGACAGACATGGCATGACTTGCAAAACTTCGAAACATCCTTTCTTAGCTTAGGCCAATAAAAATGACTCAAAATCCTATTATAAGTCTTATTGACACCTAAATGACCTGCCATAGGTGTATCGTTAGCTAAACTCATGACATCTCGATGATAAGCAGCTGGGACTACTATCTGGTGAACAACACGCCACACTTCATCTGGAGAAGTGTCAGGTGGTCGCCATTTTCGCATAAGGATGCCATCTTTCATGTATAAGCACTCTCCAACTTTAGTGGCCTCTTCTGGTGGAAGTGCCCTCTTACTAAGTTGGATGATATCTGGGTCTTTATGTTGTGCTGAAAGTAAACGTTTTCGGCTGAGGATGTCCTTGCCTTGACTAACTAGTGGATGCAACTCATCATACTCAACACCAAATTTTGGTAAAAGTTCTTTCTTCTCTTGCTTCTTGATATTGTGTGGTTCCATGCTTGTTTGAGTGCCATCAAGGTCAGATAAGAAAGTGTCATTCAAATCAATATCAACAGAGGAATTCGTCTCGTCAAAGGCTTGAGTATGGTCTGCCTCCATTTCTCGTCTTCTGGCCATCGCTCTAGTAACAGCACAAGCTGGATAAATGTCATCATCTTCATCATCGCACATGACATTGGAAGTGATTTTCTCACAAACTATAGGATCAGGTACAACCTTCCCACCAGCTAAATCGTTGCCTAACAACAAAGAAATGCCTGGAACGGGAAGAGTAGGTCAAACACCTACGATAACAGGTCCAGTAACTAAATCTGACTTCAAACTAATTCTATGCAGGGGAACATCAATGATGATTAGCTCCACACCCTGTAATAAAACTGACCCACCAGTAGAAGTCTGCTCAGACAAAGGAAGCACGCCCTCTAACAATAACGTCTGTGCAGCACCAGTATCTCTCAAAATATGGACAGGTTTTATTTCGCTAGAGTCACCGAGTGAAACAAATCCCTGAGACATAAAGGGCTTATAATCCTCCATAGAACCAATAGAACTGGACTGTGAACCCTGGACATCAGGAGTGTCAGAACAAATCGAAAATAAGGCTTCTCTATCACCTCTAACTGCCGCACAAGCGTGTGGTTGAGTTTTATCAAAATCATTTTTTCTCTTAAGTTTAAAGCATTCACTGATCAGATGACCTTTTTTCTTACAATAACTACAAGTAGGAAGCGACCCTATTCCAGATGATCCTTCAAAACGTCCTGGACCGGACTTAGAACCACCTTGGGATGGAGACTGGGAACTTGTGAAAGACTGAGACCCTGAACCACTCTTTTTATATGTGTCTGAATTGGTAGAATTACTGCTAGTCTGAGATCTTGAAACAAAATTCTTTTTATGAGACAAATCATAAGTATCAGATATGACTGCTGCCTCTTCAAGAGTTTTCAATTCTTATCTTCTAAATGTGTTTTCAAATCTTGAGGAACACATTCCTTAAACTCTTCTACCAGGATGACTTGGCGCAAATTAGCAAAAGTTTTATCAAGTTTCTTAGATCTAAACCAGTGATCAAATAAATCTTCTTTCTCCCTGAAAATTCAACAAATGTTTGATTATCAAACTTTCTATACTTTCTGAACTTTTGTCTATACGCTTCAGGTACTAATTCATATGCTTTTAATATTGCTGCTTTGACCTTCTCATAGTCTGAACTCTCAACTACCCCTAGTGCAGAGTATACCTCAGCCGCTTTTCCAGCCAATACACTTTGTAACATTGTTGACCAAACATTTCGTGGCCATTTAAGATTCTCTGCGACCTTTTCAAATTGGGGAAAATATTTGTCTACAGATTTTTCTTGAAATTTTGGAACTAATCTGATATTTTTTGCTGCGTCAAATTCAGTTTTGACAACTGACGGTTCTGGTTGGTTTTGTAATTTTAATTTCTCTAATTCAAGTTCATTGCACGCTCTCTTTCTCGCTCTTCTCTTTCTGCTGCTAATTTGTCTAATTCAAATTTCCGTTCACGCTCTCGTTCTTCTCTTTCTCTTTCTCGCTCTTCTCTTTCTTTTTCTCGATCTTCTCTTTCTTTTTCTCGATCTTCTCTTTCTAATTTTTCTCTTTCTAATCGCATTTTCTCTAACTCTACTTGAAACTGATAATCTGCCATTTTATAAGAGCCTAACTCTGATTTAACTGTATATTCTAATGTCTTGCTTTCTCTGAGAGGATTTAACATCTAACCCAAAATGCAAACCTTATGCGATCAAGTCATCCTTTTTTAACGTATCAAAAACCTGAACACTTGGTGAACTAAGAAAGTCTGTGACCGAAAACACCATGTTGATTTCTGCTGGCTTATAATCAAATTTAGCGGTTCAATAAACAAAATTCTGACAATAAACTGCAAAAGTACAAGAAATCCTTTATCACGGACGAGCCCCCAATTCTGTTATGGGTCAGAATAACCCTAAATGCCAGCAAAGATCAATAACACAATTTAAACTTAACAATAATTCATTTACAGTAATATATCATAAGTATATGAAACATAAAGTACAAACTTAGCAAGAATCTAAAAATACATACATCAGAGTGTCCGTTGCTGCACACAATGTCCCAGTGAAAATATATATCCCAGTTATATCTCAATAGTGCTTATACGACAAAGTATTTCTATGCATCGCATTGACAGGGTATTTATACAGTATCATAAATCTAGAATATTCTAGAAATTGTTAAAACATGATATTACTGAAACAATCTGGACATACACAAAATTTAAGAATGTTCTAGATCAAATGACCGAACATGTTGACCACTCTGGAATGTTCAAGAAATTTTAATGTTACTGATTATATACATAATGAAACAATACACATCTCACAACAAAAGCACTAAACTATTAAAGTGAAGTTAAAATAAAAATATAAAGGTGTAGTATAAAATATGCACAATATAATGTATGAAAAAAGAACAATTTTTGGGACATTTTCCCCGCTATATTATTAAATTAGTTTATGATTTAGGAATAAAAAAAATTACCCCATAACCGATTCCAGTAGGTTGCCAACTTATTGTGCCGCCTCTAAAATGACTAGCTTCAGATACTGTAACAATAACAAAGTTCAAGAGAATGTGAAGTATGGTATTCATTCTTACTTTTTTTTATTTCTTAATGCAGAATATCTGCCTTTATATATAGAAGCCAGGTAGAAAGCAACCAATAAAATAACTGATCACGCAGATGGATCCACTTCCTTATAACATTCACACCTCCTAACCTCATTAGCATAAATCGGAAGAATTCGGAGATAAACGTAATAAAATATGAACACAATCCGGAACGTCCGAACAGCTTTCCTCGCGAGAATTCAGCGAGACCAACATGCTACAGGTGAAAATCGAGAGAGAAATTCAACATGAAAAAAAGATGTAAAACTTTATGTTATCTCGATTTATAAGATTTGTAAATTGCAAAAAGTTGAAAAACAAACGTTTCTTTACCTGAAAAGTGAAAGTAGGTTTGCAGTTTCTTATTCTGTCGAGTGCTATTTCACTTTAAAGTGTCAAAACAGCACCTCTCGATTTTGTAAACATGTTTCCACGTGAAAGGGAGTAGTTGTGATAATCAAGATTAACCCACATACATTGATTTAGTGAACAAAAACACTCGTAAGTAGAATTTCATTTATTTTTTCGATTACCTCTTGCACAAAATGGCTAAATATTTTAGGGCATGTTTGTCAAATGCTGTTAATAGCATGTCGAAAATTGAAGAGAAAATGCAGGTGTGCTATAGTTTGTTCCCACTTGTAAGGTAGTCTACTATGCATGCATATGCAGAGTTACGCGTATAAAAGTCATTATTCTTACTTATCAATACCCAGATATTTGTGAGAACCATATGTGTTTTTTCAAATACTAAGAGACTTAATTCTATTCGTACTCGTGTATATGTGTATGCACAAGAAGTCCTTCCGAATTTCCTCTACACATATACATGTGTACCTGGATAAAGGATTTATGGTTTGTTTACATTTGTTTGCAGTTTTAATAGTGTCAGCTGTTTATATCAATCATGCATTTTTCACTAGAGCCTTCTGATCAAAATATGGTTGTTACTTTTCTAATTTAATATCATAGAATTTATTAATATCAGATGACGTCAATGCAGTTCTCACATACTTGCATGTGTATATATCAGGTATGAAACTTCACATATGCAGTTGTGGCCCGCATGGCACAGTGATTAGAGCGTCTGCTCTAGAGTCGCGAACTAAGGAGTCAATCCTTACGTTGCTAATTCTAATCCCACAGTGGGACGTGGATACCGGTCCTTGGATGAGACCGTAAATTACCAAGGCCCCGGGTCGCTGTAGGTGCTGGCACAAAAAAGATTCCTCCCTGCTCAAAGGCCCTCACCCAAAATTTGTAGCCCTCCACCGGCAAGTGGTGGCGTCTCAATATGAGTGAAAAATTCTCGAGAGGGACATACAATCCATCAATCACATATGCAGTTTATGAAAAGAGCCATAGCGCATTTGATAGTCACTTTCGCCTACTCAAGTAGTGATTTTTTAAATACTTTGTTTAACAAAAATTTGGTCAAACAATGTTAGTGTATACACGTCTTAAAGCAAATCACACAAAAATAATTAAAAGAGAAAAATAAAAGATGGCGAGAAAATTATTTAATAATGTAAGAATTATTTATTTTTTAGAAACTTATACAGTATTGCAATCGTTTGTTGGTGTTTTGTAAACCCATTGCGACCTATCAAATACCTAGTTGGACAGAATAAATCCAAATTTTGTGTTTTAACATGCCCCCTTTTCACTGCAATAAAGGCTACCTTCAATTTTTTCATTTTTTATTAGAAAAATGAAAATTGCATGATATATGTTAAAAACAAAGAATTTCATCATGTATTATTTTTTTTATTTGTAAATTTCTTTGTTTATTGAAGAGTTTTAGTACGTAATTGTGTATAAAAACACGAAAAATGGTCCATATCTTGACATTGCCCCCATTTCACTACAATAAAGGCAAGGTAACAAAATTTCATTTTAATTTTTCAAAGCATAAAACATACAAGTATATTTCCAAGAATCAAAATTTTTTATCATTCCATTTTCGTAATTTTCAACTAGATCGGGCCTCGTAAATACGAGATCACCGTAGAAAACATACACTATCAAACGTGGGAAATCCCAAATTATTACTATGTGACGGTGACCAGAAGATGGATGGATAATTTACGGACTATAATATGCAGCGTCTTGGTTTTTGAAAGCAAGTTTGTAATTGTGGTTTAATCCACGACGGATACACGTGTATTAAATTTAGGCAACTTCCCAAATGTGCAAAAATGCACAACTCACTCGATATTGGTTTTGGAAAATGGCAATGGTGGAAAAAGGGGTGATATTTTGTCAGGAAACATGCATAGGGTTCCCCTTGATAACAAGTATGACGTCATTTCAATCTCGCATATGTATGGAAATTCGTAAAATTAAAAATATAATAATTAAAAGGATTTGGGTCAAATTGAACTGTACCTCGATTATGTTGAGCTGGAATAGCAGGTAACATGGAAACTAAGGAAGTTACAGTGGATAGTGAATCTGAGTCAGGTGCCTGCTCGACAATGGCGACATCATGTTCAGAACGTGGCGGTGCATGAGTTGCTACAGCTTCTCTCTGTTTTTAGGCCTGGATACGAAAATTCTTGTGATTTATCTGGAATAAGGTCTCCTGGCCTTCGAAGCTCTTGATACACATAACATATTTACTTGTATTTGACAATAAATCAGCAGATGATGATCGATTAATTCCTTTGAAAAATTTTTGCGTCTGCTTCATTCAAATTACAGATTAAAAAGGAATATTCTAGAAGACATGCGCAAACAAGAAATATCAAGAATTTTTTGAGCACCGAGCCCAATGATTTATGGAAGTTTAATGTTAAGAAACTTAAGAGTTATCTATCTTTGCATGTAAAACATTAAGCTGCACGAAATAACCAGGTTTATCCATATTGGATAAACCCCATTAATTCATTGAATACCCAACAGCAGAGAAGAAGATTTTCAAACAATTTCTACATTTTCTCTATATAATCAATAGAGCCCCACCCTATCACAAGAACCCCTCACCCTGGGGCCAAAAAATTCACAATTTTGGAAGAAGCATTTTTGCTCATCATAACTATATACTTAGTTAATTTGTTGAATACCTAGGAGCAGAGAAGAAGATTTTCAAACAATTTCTGCATTTTCTCTATATAATCAATAGAGCCCCGCCCTAAAACCAGAACTCCTGACCCTGGGGCCATAAAATTCACAATTTTGCAAAAGGCATTCTTCCTCATCATATATATGTACTTGGTTTGTTTATTTAATATACAGGAGTAGAGAAGAAGATTTTTAAAGAAATAATCCATTTTCACCATATAATCAATAGAGCCCCGCCCTAGCACTAGAACCCCTGACCCTGGGGCCATAAAATTCACAATTTTGCAATAGGCATTCTTCCTCATCATAACTATGTACTCAGTTAGTTTATATAATACTCAGGAGCAGAGAAGAAGATTTTTAAAGAAATAATGCATTTTCACTATATAATCAATTGAGCCACTAGAACCCCTAACCCTGGGCCATGAATTTCACAATTTTGGTAGAGGACTCAATGGTCATTACATTCATGCTAACAGTTTGACTGCTTGATGTCCAGGAGTAAAGAAGAAAATTTTTAAAGATTGCACTAATTTTAGTGGTTTTGGCCCCACCCCTCAGGCCCCAGGGGGGCAGGGACTATGAAATTCACAATTTTTGTTCCCTTTCACCCATAAATGCTTTATGGAAAATTTGGTGGAAATTGATTGAGTGGTTACAGAGAAGAAGCCGAAAATGTTCAAATGTTAACACACGACGCACGACGACGGACAAAAACAGATAGCAATAGGTCACCTGAGTTTACTCAGGTGACCTAAAAAAAGGTGAACATGAATATATCAACTTATTATTGATAATACGGGATTAAATGTGTTTATAATATATTGTTTTTGACAAAATTTTAATCTACACTAATATGATCCGTTTTCCGTTCCGTTTTCCGTTCCGCGTTTTAGTAACACCGACACAGATGGACTTATATCCGTACATACATCTGAGTGATAAAGTCTGTCCAACTAGATCTGCCGTCATAAGTGTCGGGTTTTGCTCTGACAGTCTGTCGAGTCTGGTTTTGAATTTCACAATTTGATCTGAACGGATTAAAATCCGATGGTCTATCTAAAATATTATGAGGGTTTATCTGTGTTCGAGAATCAAACGAACGAAATTGTGACTGGTTTGCGTCACTGGGCAGAGTATGTCTATGGTCATCAGGCTCACTCACTCGTCTCGGTCTTTGTCAACCAAACGATGTAAAGTCCTTGTAAGTTTCTGTAACACCGTAGAAATATCACAAATCTGGGACTGCATACAATTCACTTTAGTATCAATATCAGGACTTGGTTCATCCCCACCCTGATCATTGGGGTTCACATTAATACAACGGGATTCTGACATTTTTTTTCTACCGGGGAAAATCCAGCAAGTGTAAATCAAAAATAACAAATTTTCCTGCATAAATAATTTTATCCTATCCCACCGCTGCCACTAAAATGTAACGTTTTCGCCGTTACGAGTTCGTAAGATAGGATAAAATAATTATTAATTACCAAATTGGTATATGTAATGTATAAGCCTGGTCGCGGCTAAGATCTGGTCTTTAATTTCTGGTAGCGAAATATGAATCAACCTGGTAGCGTTTTTTTTTTACTAAAGAAATCAACACCAAAGATTATAAAGTTTTCAAAAATTATATTCTGATATGCCAAAATTTAATAATGATAGTCAACAAATTAACAACAATTTATTTTTCAAAATATGGTCACACAAAGTCACTTGCTAGATTCAAAAGATTCCCCAAATTTCAGATAAAGTTAAAGTAAAATTTCTAATACGAAATTTTATTAATTATAATGTTCAAGAAATCTGTGAGCCAATGCTCACTAGTAATACCCCCCCCCTCTGAAGTAAATAAGCACTATCATGTTAATATACTGTTTACACAAGTTCAATTACAGGCAAACGAAGTTGACATCAGATTCTTATCAAAATTAATCCCACCATTTGGCATGCCTGAACAAAGTCGGTAATAAAATTTCAAGCATCTGCTATGAATAGCTAATGAGAAAACTGCTACGAAGATTTGTCATGTACGAAACGGACAGACGCACGGACAAACAGGAAGTTGATAACAGGTTTAAACAAAAATGTATCCCACCATATGGCATGCCACAGAGAAGATTGTGTTAAAATTTCAAGCATCTGCAATGAGTAGTTGCTGAGAAAACTGTGACGAAAATTTGTTATGCATGAAACAGACAGACAAACAGGAAGTTGACATCGGATTTTAACAAAAATGTATCCTGCCATATGACATGCCTCAGAGAAGATTGTATTAAAATTTCAAGAACTACGTTGAGTAGTTGCTGAGAAAACTGCGACGAAAATTTGTTATGTATAAAACAGACAGACGCACAGACAAACAGGAAGTTGACATCGGATTAGAGCAAAAATGTATCCCACCATATGGCATGCCTCAGAGAAGATTGTGTTAAAATTTCAAGCATCTACGTTGAGTAGCTGCTGAGAAAACTGACGAAAATTTGTTTCGGACAGACACACGGACACATAGCTACACGGACACACAGACAGACAGACACACAAGGGTAAAACAGTATATCCCCCTCTCCTTTGGAGCGGGAGTATAAATCTCACAAATAGTTTAAAAGCGACTACAAATTGGGTAAAATAAATTCAAAAGTCTTCTTCTTCTTCTTCTTCCCATACGAGTTTACTCTTACTAGAGCGTTGAACTCGGACTGTCACACGCGACGGACAAGGCTAAAAAACCGATCAGGGCACTATGTACAACAAGAGGCCCAGGGGCCACAGCGCTCACCTGAGCACATCAGGCTTGAATTTACTCCCCCCCCCCCTCCAGACGTTCCTCATTTGAACAAACTAGAATCTACCTGAGGATGATTCCATATAAATATCACAAATCATAACTTTGCAGTACTTGAAAAGAAGATTTTAAAAGGTTTCCCTATATGTTCCTATGTAAAACTTTGATCTGCCATTTTTGCCCCACCCTACCCCCGGGGGTCATGATTTGAACAAACTTGAATCTACACTACCTGAGGATGATTCCACATGAGTTTAATCTTTCCTGGCCCAGTGGTACTTGAGAAGAAGATTTTTAAAGATTTTTCCTATATATTCCTATGTAAAACTTTGATCGGCCATTTTGGCCCCACCCTACCCCCGGGGGTCATGATTTGAACAAACTTGAATCTACACTATCTGAGGATGATCCCACATGAGTTCCATCTTTCCTGGCCCAGTAGTACTTGAGAAGAAGATTTTTAAAGATTTTTCCGATATATTCCTATGTAAAACTTGGGTCGGCCATTTTGGCCCCACCCTAGACCCTGGGGTCATGATTTGAACAAACTTGAATCTACACTACCTGAGGATGATCCCACATGAGTTTCATCTTTCCTGGCCCAGTGGTTCTTGAGAAGAATATTTTTTAAAAATGCCATTAATTTTTCGCTAATTCATAATTATCTCCCCTTGGAAAAGGGTCTGGCCCTTCATTTGAACAAACTTGAATCCCCTTCACCCAAGGATACTTTGTACCAAGTTTGGTTGAAATTGGCCCAGTGGTTCTTGAGAAGAAGATAAAAAATGTGAAAAGTTTACGACGACAACAACGACAACGACAACGACGACGACAACGACAGACAACGGACAAATTTTGATCAGAAAAGCTCACTTGAGCCTTCGGCTCAGGTGAGCTAATAAAAAGTTAAAAACTGGCACACTTAGTTGGTGTTGGTGGGCAGCTGGCTCCTTGTATATGAGTCCAGCTGTGTCCGGAAGGACTCTAATGTTGGTGCTGAGGCAACTACAGATGGTAAGTTGTTCCAGTCTGAAATTGTCCTCGGAAAAAAGGAATATCGATGTGCATCGATCAGAGTGTGTGGTAGACGGTATGTGTAGCTGCCTCTGGTCCTTCTGTCACTGGGTGTCAGGTACATATCTGCAGGGATAGCCACCAAAGCATTCTCAATCTTGTATAACAAAACGAGTCTTATCTTCATTCTTCTTGTTTGTAATGGTTCCCAGTGTAGATCTTGTATCATCTGGGTAGCACTCCCAGGGTGGTTATCATGGTAGTTTTTGGTGGCAAATCGTGCTGCTCGTCTTTGCACTTTCTCCAGCTGATGGACTTGCTTGGAGTTCCAGGGATCCTATGTTGCACAGGCGTATTCTAGAATCGGTCGTACTAATCCCTGGGCTGACTATTCAAAATAACTCCTGAAAAAAAAAATTACGTCCGTCCACTATCATCTAAAAATCCCAACTCATTTCTAAAACTAAACGTTAACACAAAGTGACATAGCATGACCCAACGTGACGTTATATACCGCGAAATTACGACACATTCTAGGTAAAACCTGTACATAATTTCCCGCGACCGGAAGTAATGGAAAACGAAAGTAATGTGAAATGACAGTATGACTTATAAATAAGGTAAAACAATGATGTACAACAAGTTTAAATGTAGTTTAAACATACAATAATGATGAATGAGTCTTCCGGTCGGAATGAATTAAAATCACAAATTTTCAATATTTATACAGTCAAAACCGTTACAATATCATTGTGGTTTTTTGAGAGCAGGTCTTACAACAATCTTTTGTAATTTCCATGGGAACCATTATAAGCAGATCTATGTTTGTATTTATATGAAGCAGAATGTGTCCAAAAAATCTTATACGTGAAAAGAAGAAAACACTTGCTGTGATCTTCAACTCGACAGTTCGGATTTCTATTCTTGTGTCAATACTATATATCCCAGTGAGCTTGAGAGCTTGAGATAAAAGATACCACAGAGTTCGACACTTCTGTTTCATACTTTGATATTTTACTTGCAAAAGACGTTAATGGTAATCTAACAACCAAGCTCTATGATAAACGTGATGACTTCAACTTTTCAATCGTCAACTCCCCTTACTTAAGAAGCAATATACCTTCATCACCTTATATCTCTCAGTTGATTCGATACGCAAGAACATGCTCTACATATGTGCAATTTTTAAAGTGAGGAAAATTATTGAAGAACAAGTTGATGAAAGAGAATACCAAAAGTCTCCTTTAAAGTCAATTCGTAAGTTCTATAGTCGATACAGTGACCTTGTCAGCAAATACCATTTATCATTGAGTCAAAAAATGATAGGGAAGCACGGAGGATCTGACCGGTTGGCAGGGGATGCTCACTCCTCCATGGCGCCTGATCCCACCTCTGATGTTTTGGCGGCCCTTGTGTGCTCTTCTAATTTGTATTGCTTTATGGACGTTTGAGCTTAAATACTGTTCGTAATTCCCATATATTTCATATATGTAAAATCTAATTCACTTTCACATTTTCTATAAGTTTGGATAATTGATTAAAGTGCTCAATTTATTTTTCAGGCCCCACTTTTCGTCTTGAACAGTATTGAGAGAAATTTCTTGAATGTCTTATGGCATCGAACAAGGTTATATAAAATGAGGTATATAATTTTCAAAATCACTACATGCTACGTGAATATTTGTGCAGAAAAAAGCTTTGATTTGAATGAGAGTGTTCATAATTACAGCATTCGATAAATCTATTCTGAGGCTCTTGATTAAATGAACGCAAACTCTTGATTCAAAAGAGCATATTACGTTTTGTGAATTGATAAGAAAATCACTTGTCTGAGCAGCGGAGGTATAAAAGACGTTTACACAAATCGAACATTTATTTTCGAAAACATGCTAAAACGGCTTAAAACTCGACAGACTCAACTGTAAAATCACTTTGCTCCGTAACAAACGATCACCGATGCAAATACATAAGCCGAATTGACTCTAGATTGCATACAAATATTTAAACATTTCAGTTGAGTCAGATGAATTTTTTCAACCGACTGTTTTGAACTTTCGTGTTTTGGGGCAAACATTTTGCAATGAATCTTTATTTTTCGTTTTGTGTAAACATCTTTTAAACCCATTCCGCCCCCCCCCCCCATTAAACGATCTTAATATCAATTTACTATAGATATGCTCTTTTCGAAAGGATGCTCCGCTTTGCTGATGCCTATGTTAAAAGTCTAACATCAATAATGTTGATGTAAATAATTCATTCTGCTGTGTTTTTGATATCGGTGAAGCATATCTGTTGAACGTAAAGAGAAATAATATCATTACTCAATTTCCCGTTAATTTTATTACTTCATGGCTTTATGATTATAAGTACTCAACCCATATTTGCAGAATCCCTTTCCGTTCGTGATGACTCACTCAAGACTATTAGACACAAGTTCCCGAGTCCTGGTCGAAACAGTTTGTCGTACAATGGGAAACAGAGAGTAACTAAATCGATCATAAACCCTACAACTCTAAACAATGGAGATGATACATTTAAGTTCTCTATTGCCCCTGAAGTGGACTGTCTACAATTGTGTACTTTGGATAGTGTTTATAGTGCCGAACTGTGTGGGTACGTATTTGAGATATGACTAGAAAAGTTACTAAACGTTTACAAAAATAATGTATTTACGATTTAGTGCAATTACAGGGATGTGAGTGGTTGGCTTAATTAGCACTAATAAGCTGTTTGGGTTTGTATTTGTATATATTAATGTTTTTATTTTTAAAGGCGCAAAAGTTTGAAGCCCGCTATCTTAAGTACGCTCATTGTAATTTGAAGTATAGAAAATAAAGATAAAGGAAAAACGAGGCAATTCATTTAGTTTATTGGGTCTTTCATTGATTAACTAGAGTTTGTGTAAGCCAAAGCATCACGCTATAGAAAAGAAACTTGAATTTCATTACAGCTTCCCTCTGTCCTAAATGCCTTCATATGGAGTCAAACAGCTTTTATGCTTCACTCGCAAAGTTGCCATCAAATCCCAAATGTAAAGCGGGACACATTCCAGAGCAGAGAACGTCTTGTCCTAACGAGTCTGCAGAAGACAAAGTACAAATGTGTGGATTTTTGACGGGGAATTTGACAGTCAAAATAAATATAAGTATGCATAAAATATGATCAGTTATATATTAATGTATCTTTTGTTTTTTCTTTTACTCTTGGGGTTGTGTGGGTTTGATATTTATTCAATACAAAACCTGGAATTAAAATACAGTCTTACTAGGCTATAACTGCACATTGTTTTCAAATATATGAGAGTTCAAAGATATTTTTAAAGATATGTATATCTATATATTGACCGATATATTAAAATGACAATTAATACAGTGTTATTTTAGCCTCGTCTTATTTTGCCCTTTCACAGTTTGCAAACAATTTTCCCCCATTTTAAATTCACAGTGTCATAGATTTTTTTTTTAAAAAAGAAAGTACACCTTATTTTTTGAATTCGCCCCGTTTCAAATTCGCCCACATGAGGTTAGGGCGAAAGAAGCGAAAACTGAAAATTGCTATGAGAAAATAATACAATTTGCAGTTGTTACGGATTACTGATTACTTACAGATTTAATATCCCCAGTAGTGCAAGGAACAGTTACCTACTATGACTGTGTGCTTGTGAGCAAAAATACCCAAACAGAGTGCCAGACAAATGCCACGGGTCCAATGGAAAAATCCCTGCTACAGGAGCTGGGCCCAGATATCCCTGATGTTACTGTGTCGGCATTCCATGGCAAATCCTGTCTTTCTTACCCTGTCACTAACGTCCAGGTATCGTCAACAGCTCCAACTGTAGAATCAACAGGCATGGTATCACCAACAGCTGGAACTGTACAATCAACAGGTATTTTAACTTGAAAAGCTTACCCACTTACCTACTACTCAACACCTAGTCCTTATTTCACCCGGAGGCACATAGGGCAAGGACTAGGGATTTCTATTTCTCTCTTTTCTTAGCTGTCCCCTACACCTCTCCCAAGGTTATATTCATTTCCCTTAGTTCTTTTTCTACGGTTCACTTCCATGTTTTTGTCGGCCTTTCCTCCTTTTCCTCTCTGGTGTCAATCTTAATGCCATGCTTGATAATGCTATAATAAGCTTACCTGTATGTTTATTAATTATGCTTTTTACAAAAAAATTACACGTGCTAAAACTTTCTAATTAGAGTTTTTATCTTTAAGATACATGCAATTAAAATGACGAATCTATTCTATATCCATTTGTACCATCTATACTTTTGTCTTCAATAATATAGAAATGGGAAACGATCAGTGTGTACGGGTCCAACCGTCAAAGCATGTATTAATTGTATTTTTGAGGAGCTGAGAGTTCATTCTGCAAGTAATAATAGACCTTATACCCAAGGCTCCCAATCAAAGGATGTCAGTTTTGACTTATGAACATTTTAAATATTCTTAACAATCAAATTGAATTTGAATTACCATTCTTTAATGGAATCTTTAACAACTTAAACATCATTACAAAAATATATAGCGGGTTCCAGTAAATATTATACTAAGATTTTTTTCTTTAATATCATTGAGATATTTGAGGCAGTGAATAAGAAACTTCAGCAGTATTGTACAACATAATGTTTTCAAAAGAAGTGGATATTTAATATTCCAGTAACTTTTGGAAAATTTTAAATCACAAACATTTTCCATTATTAATAACATCAAATTGTACGAATTTTCTACACTTTAAACAATCGATAAATGAAAGGCCGGGCTTTCTGACATCAAAAACAGCTGCTTTTTACTAAAAATGGAACTCATTAATTTACTAACCTTGTCATATGAAAAATTACTCGGGTGTGGCCGGTCGGCAGGGAATGCTCACTCCTCCATGGCCCCTGATCCTTCCTCTGATGTTTTAGATGTCCTTGTTTACTCTGCTCCAAAATTTGTACTGTTTATGGACTTTTGAGCGTATATACATAATGTTCATTATCTCCATATTTTATTTGTTCAAAACATTCTGAGTGAGACCATGTTCGAAGAAGATATTTCAAAGATGCTTGAGTTTCTCATTGGCTATAAATATTTAGTTTTTCCCGAAACTTATTCCAAAACAAACCTGAGAGGAAGGAAACACTTCGCAGAAAGCTCTGATCTTCAGCTTGATATTTAGATATATCGACGACGTATTATCAATCAACAATAGTAAATTCCATTCATATGTCGATATTTCATCGATATATAACAGTAAACTAAAAATAAAAGATATCACGACTATTTTAACCAGAAATTTTGAAGACTTGAAACTAACACAAAAACTTTATGATAAATGCACTGACTTTTTTAGCGTCATCTTCCCTTATTTAAGTATAGAATTTAATTTTATCGGCTTGTCAACTGTTGATTCGCAATGCAAGACCATTCTCTTCGAAAGAACGGTTCCTAAAAGGACACAAGCTATTGACAAACAATTTAATGAAACAAATTTATCAACAGTCTCCTTTAATCATTGCTTCGCAAGTTTTCTAGCCGGTACAATTACCAAGAGTCAATAAATACGATCTATCAGTAAGTCGAATGCTGACTGACATAGTTAGATCATTATTTACACTAAATAGTCTACCGATATTCCAGTGTTACCGATTATACATGGCAAGGAACACACGGGACGATCAATTGACAGGGGGTGCTTAATCCTTGATTACACCTTATCCTACCTCAAATGATTTTAGAGCTCCGTGTTTGCTTTGCTCCTGATTTATATCGTACTATCAATGGACCTTGCGTCTTAATTCTTAATAGTTCGTCATCTCCATGTTCATTAGACGACCCTTACTTTGGGGTAATAATGGAAAATAAATTTTTTATAAGAATTCTTTTATTTCAAAATATGTTTTATTTTTTCTGGATCTGCATTTTTAATAAAAATACTAAGCTTCTGTACAAAGTTCTCACTAATACTTTTATTCATACAAAACAATTTTTAAAGAGCTTGTTATGAAAATAAATTGAAATCTTCAGCAACAGTCAATTTCTTCTTTGATTTTTAGCACGAGAAAAACTCTTTTGCAGCCGTTGCAATAAAACATATAACCCGCCACACCGAGTAATGTATATTTTTCTGACATACAACGTAGTTGCATTGTTTATTTCTGCACTAACAAGCAAAGAAAGCCATTTTATTATATATTTATATGAATTATCATAAAATTTAGGATAAAGCTTGTTAAATATTATGCTATTGAAATGAATTTCATTGCATTTTTCATTGATGAAACAGTTGGTGCTTAAGAAATTTATAAACAGATGGCTGTTAAGTGGTGTTAACTAATTAAATAAACAATTAATTAATAAAGAAAAAAAAAGATATAAATATTATTTATGTATAAAATAAGTAGTTTGTTGAATTGCTTGCCGTTATTTTCAGAACCTGAAAGAGGACAAAACCCTGGAAATAAGGACTTATCATCATCATCAAATGAACTTTATTTAAAATTCAAACTTTTTCTATATTTTATTCCTATAGTTTATACACACAAGTTACTAATGTTTTAAGAATTTAGACTTGACTGAGGACATCGGCCTGGATAGCTCAGTGGTTGGGGCACCTGACTAGTAATACAGGGGTCCCGGGCTCAATTCCAGGTCCCACCATCCATATATTTTCATGATAAATGTATTTATGAATTTTCAATGTTTGTTTACTCATTCCTCCTTTCTATATTACATATGTATACAAATGTTTAATCGTATGTAATAATCGTATGTAATCAAATGTGTTCTTAAGCAAAAAGACAAAGGTGTTTTTGTACAAATATAAATATGAAGTGCCTTTCAAATGTCAATTTAACGTTATTTTAACCAAAGCCATTGTTTGTTAGCGATTACAAAAAAATGGCTGCATTTCATTTCCGGAATTTTTGATAATTATCAACTTTTCATTTCCAACATTTTTTAGTTTTCATTTCCGACATTTTTTTTTCATTTCTGACATTTTTTCAAATACATATGCAGTACCTATATAGTAACAAATCTGATAACTTAACATATGAAAATTTTAAAGCAGTAAATCATAAGTAAATCATTGAAATCCAATGTTGTAAATCTATTAGTGACTTGGACATAAGTATGGTGCTGTCACTGACATTTAATTTAGT